AAAACAGCTTGGAAGCGACCACTTCATTCCTAGGGGTTATTATCAACCATGTATTCATTTATATCATAATAACCCTTTTTACCCAGTTTTGTTTAATTAAATATTTAAACTTGGTAATAGAGACCTTGTATATTTTCTGGGACTTTGTTGTAATAGCGTATACATTGCCTCAATAATGAATTACTGACTCTGTGGAGTCGACAAACTGGCAGCACCAGCTTGTGTTTGTTCCTAGTATTTAAAGAGTGTATGCCACTTTTTTACCAAAACTACCTTTATTTTTGTGAACATAAATCAAATTTTTATAGATATACTGGGAGGCCAAAGTTGATATATTTGTTTCTTTAAATTTTTCTCTAAAAGACTCTCTCGGTTTAAGATTGTACATAGCTCTAATGGCCCTCTTCTGCAAAACAAAAATAGTTTCTAAATCAGCCGCATTCCTCCATAGCAAAATTCCATATGACATTATGCTATGGAAATAATTGAAATAAATTAATCTAGCTGTCTCGACTTTGGTAGAGACAACGAACTTCTAATTTAGCCCATTCATGACATACTTCTCTCGCTTCTCTCACATCCATATGTCTACGTATATATGATCGTGGATTTTGGGTGCTTCTAATTTAACACATTCTCAATTGACACACCTAATTTCTACTCCTCCTTAATCTCCTGATTTGAACCTAATGGAAGTGTTATGGAACATTTGGACAGAAATCTAATATTTGAACATGGAATGACGGCTCCTTGCCGCAGTGGCTTAGCAATAATTTGCGGTACTGAGGGTTGCGGGTGCGAATCCCACATGGAACAAGTATTTGTATGGCCCGAAAATAATTGTTTCAGGTCTGGATGTTTATTCTTGTGAAATTTAAGTATGTTTACTACCTACATAATAAAAAAGAAAATCCTAATTTAGGGGTCACGTATTTAAAAAAAAAGAAAAGTGTAAAGACATTAGCCCATAGCAAATATTCATTTATGAAGCATTTTTCAGACAAATATAGTTAGCCCTATCTTCATATACTAACAACTAATCTTAAAAATATTTCAGATGCCCGAAACTATTTCTAATGTGATAATTTATAAATAAGTCAAAAGTTATTAAATACTCTACCTCTTTATTTGATTTTACTTTACATTCACTTGAAAACATAATTTATAATCCATTTTTAGTATTTCATTTTATGAGTATGAATGCCAAACTTCAATTCATCTTGGTAGATAAATACTTCGTAACAGTACGGTGGTAACTAAATTCGCCAAAATAACAACACAAATGAAAAAAATTAAAACAACTTCAATATAAATAAAATAAGAAAATCACCCATGTAGCAAATTCAGTTAAAAAACTACTGGTGAGGTCTTGATAAAGTTTATATGGGCCTACGTGAGAAGCATCAACCTTCAAATAAAAAAGAATCATCAAAATCAGTTCTTCTAGAAAAAGGTTCTGAATGAACACACATAAAATATACAGTCGAATTGAGAACCTCCTCCGTTTTTTGAAGTCAGTTTAAAAGAATAAGTTATTGTAAACAATTTAAAGTTTTAGAATAATTTTAATTGTTGGTAATGGCTACGCATAAATTAAAGAATCATGTCCAATTTTGACCTGAAAATTTTCTAACGCGTCCGGTGGTGTAAAATATCTTATAAAATTGCTTTTATTTTGCTTATTTCGTAGCGCATAATAAAATTTTCCAATAAAGCCAGGATAAAAGTAATATTAATATATTTATCATTCTCAATAGACTTTTGGAGAAGGAACGCGTTTAACCTATAAGGTCTGACAGCTCGCGACATGTTATACTCCCGTTCCCTCTGGACCTTAATGGCGGGAAAATTTGCAAGCTAGCAAATTTTTGCTATATTGCAAATTTTGCTATATTTTCACTTTGAGACAATATTTATGGATAAAACTTACAGGAATTCTTGTTGATAGTATTAATATATTTATCATTCTCAATAGAATTTTGGAGAAGAAACGCTTTTATTTTAAACCATAACCTGGCAATGTTTCTTAGAAAAAAAAAAAGAAATCACTCTGAACTTTCGGCGTTCCACGTGTCACTTTTATGAAGGTGCTCCGTCTTTTTTTTATAGAATTTTATATTTGTGTCTGGACGAAAAACGAAAGTATTGTACTTTTTTATATTCCTTGTAATATAGTAAACACGTAGATATATAATTTGTGGTATAAAAAGTGAAAAGTAAATTGCTAAAAGTACTTCGAAATCCGGAAGGCCCATTTTGGCGGTTGGGTCATAAATGTGTTATTTTTCCAATTCTCATTTATTTTTAGTGTAAAATGTAAGTAAAAATAGTTTTCTTACATATTTCAAATAACTTGACGTTGTATTTATTTCAAATTCACACAAAAATATTTTAGAAATATTGTTGGAAATGTCATACAGATAAATATTATTATTTTATTTTTTTTATTTTTTTAATATTTTAATATTTTGGTATGAGTAACGAATAGAAACACATAAAACATAAAAATATACATATTTCCAAACATTTTCATATAAATTTCTCCAAAAACAAAAAGTGTAGAATTTAAATTAGTAGTAATTTTGGCACTAAAATTGAAGTATATACTACTACTATGCTATAAAGGGTAATTTATGAATTTTATTACAATTTCTAGCAACCAAAAATAATTTTATTCGATAGTTTATACATTCAACAAGAATTCCTGTAAGTTTTATCAATAAATATTGTCTCAAAGTGAAAATATAGCAAAATTTGCAATATAGCAAAAAATTTGCTAACTTGCAAATTTTCCCGCCATTTAGGTCCCGAGGGAACGGGAGTATAACATGTCGCGCGCTGTCAGACCTTACAGGTTAAACGCGTTCCTTCTCCAAATGTCTATTGAGAATGATAAATATATTAATATTACTTTTTTCTTGGCTTTATTGGAAAATTCTATTATGCGCTACGAAATAAGTAAAATAAAAGCAATTTTATAAGATATTTTACACCACTGGACGCGTTAAAAAATTTTCAGGTCAAAATTGGACATGATTCTTTAATTAATACGTAGCCATTACTAACAATTAAAATTATTCTAAAACTTTAAATTGTTTACAATAACTTATTCTTTTAAACTTACTTCAAAAAACGGAGGAGGTTCTCAATTCGACTGTATTATATATGTGTGTTCATTCAGAACCTTTTTCTAGAAGAACTGATTTTGATGATTCTTTTTTATTTGAAGGTTGATGCTTCTCACGTAGGCCCATATAAACTTTATCAAGACCTGACCAGTAGTTTTTTAACTGACTTTGCTACATGGGTGATGTTCTTATTTTATTTATATTGAAGTTGTTTTAATTTTTTTCATTTGTGTTGTTTTTTTGGCGAATTTAGTTACCACCGTACTGTTACGAAGTATTTACCTACCAAGATGAATTGAAGTTTGGCATTCATACTCATAAAATGAAATACTAAAAATGGATTATAAATTATGTTTTCAAGTGAATGTAAAGTAAAATCAAATAAAGAGGTAGAGTATTTAATAACTTTTGACTTATTTATAAATGATCACATTAGAAATAGTTTCGGGCATCTGAAATATTTTTAAGATTAATTGTTAGTATATGAAGATAGGGCTAACTATATTTGTCTGAAAAATGCTTCATAAATGAATATTTGCTATGGGCTAATGTCTTTACAATTTTCTTTTTTTTTAAATACGTGACCCCTAAATTAGGATTTTCTTTTTTTATTATGTAGGTAGTAAACATACGTAAATTTCACAAGAATAAACATCCAGACCTGAAACAATTATTTTCGGGCCATACAAATACTTGTTCCATGTGGGATTCGCACCCGCAACCCTCAGTACCGCAAATTATTGCTAAGCCACTGCGGCAAGGAGCCGTCATTCCATGTTCAAATATTAGATTTCTGTCCAAATGTTCCATAACACTTCCATTAGGTTCAAATCAGGAGATTAAGTAGGAGTAGAAATTAGGTGTGTCAATTGAGAATGTGTCAAATTAGAAGCACCCATAATCCACGATCATATATACGTAGACATATGGATGTGAGAGAAGCGAGAGAAGTATGTCATGAATGGGCTAAGTTAGAAGTTCGTTGTCTCTACCAAACCGATTTTAATGACAGACCTAAGATTGTATGTGTTCATTATATGATGAGGAGGATAAGTTATGAACTTAGCTGCTACTTTCACGCACTACTTTCTCTTATTTTCCAAGTGAAAACTCAACCTTGTAGTGTACTTAAAGGTCCTGCTGAAAAACGAACCTCTTCCTGATTAACTGCGATCCTAAGATTACGTTCTTCTATAAGATTTACTTGCCCTTTTTTCAAAAGTGCTTTAACATTAGTATCACTTACATACAACCTCGAAAACATTCCTTAATTATGACACTTGCCAGTCCACAATTCATAGTTTGGCATAAGTGATTATGTTATTTGTGTACAATAAAAAGTATAAAAATAAATGAATATAAATAAAAGATCTACTTTTTTCAAGTCAAAATTCTTTAAAATTAACAGAGATTTTATATAAAGATGTATCATATTTACATATGCAAATACAACTTTTAAAATAAGTTACTAGTGATTGAAAGCACGCAATTATTTATGCATAGTTTGAATGTTTTCGCGTTATGCGCTAGAAACATGATAAGAAAAAATTGTGTGTGTAAATTTGTACACACGTGAGAAGTGAAACTTTTTTACGATATATAATTTTTCTTTTCTTTTATTATTCATGTAGCCTCCGTGGTAAAACGTCACAAGAAAAAGTGACTTTTTCTAAATACCGTACTAAACGTATTTACTACATCGAGCAAGAAGTTTAACTTCAGGAAATATTAATTCGGTTTTTAGCAAGTATAATCCGCTTTTACCTTTTATGATTATTAGTATTATTTAAATGACATAAAGTTGTGAAAATTATTAGTACATAATGTTGCATTCGAGGCTGTATAGGTGTATAGATTTCATTTAAACGACATTTATATTAATACAGTGTTTGATTTATCTTCGTCGGAAATAAAAGCTGGATTTGTAGAGCTTACTTTAACCTTTGCAGGTGCTATTCCACTTGTCGTGCTCTCTTTTTTATCAGGAATATTGGCACTCTTTTTAGTACCTGTTGAAATAAAACATTCATCAATCATAACATTTGCGTTAAAATACCTATTGGGCGTATATGACAAAATTATATAAAATATTACATGCTATTTTAGTTTTAATAAATTTACTTAATCACCCATATAATTAATGTAACAATAACTTCATCATTACAGCTCTCCCTAATTCCACTGCTGATCATAGACCTCCCTAAAGGAATGCTGACAAAGCACTGTAGTGAGGCACCTCCGTCCACTGACTTCCTGCATGATTTAAAGCCCCATTTACATTCAGCCACTGCCACTGCTCCTCGCGTTGCCGGCAATACTTCCCTAAATACTGCCGTAGCAGGATCGCGGGAAGTGTGTATTTACATTCTGCCCTACCGCTCACATCGCTTTCGGCTTTCGACTATGGCAGAAGTCGAAATCGAAATAATTACAGCGTCCGCGCTGTGTCTTCTTGCAATACAAAATTATGTTAATAATTTAAAAAGACATCAAGTTCAAAAGAAGATAGATAGATTTTATTTGATAGATATAATTTATTTGCTTAAAAACATGGTACATAAGATCATCAATGACGTGGAACTGACATGTTTTGCCATAATTAGCATGCAAAAATGATATGAAATACAGCTAATTACACAAACCCAATGTTACATTTTAAAATTATTGCCGTGCTTAAAAGTTAGTTACAAACATTCTTTTTGAATTCAAATATTATGTAAAATTAAATACATATACAGATCCACTCTATTTGAATTCATATACAGTAAATTGTTCATAAATTATTAATTGAATTATTACATTATTGTTACATAAATAATATTAAATATTATATGAGATTAGTTAAGCTATTATTATTTTTATAATTTCACTATAATTTGAAAATCTCAGGTTATTATGCAAATATTACCATTTAACTTATTTTACATTTTAATAAATAAATAATCAATTGAGTTACTAATCGTTTTTAGAAATAAAATGTCAATGTTCATTAATTCCTTAAACTTAACTAAATTTTATATTAAAATAATAAATTTGACGAATTTATAATTAATTATGTACATAGGTACTATGTTATCTCAAAAAGAAAATTCGTATTCGTAGATGATGAATTGTGGTTTTTATCGTTGAAATCCCATAGTTTTTTCTGATTCCAGCAGTTCTAAAAACTTTATTGTATTTTCATTATTCCGCTCGAAAGGCATTTTGGTAGATCGTACTTATTTAATAACAAGACGGCACGCACGTCCGTTCATCCAGGCGCTTAGTGCGAAGTGAGCGATGGAGCTGAATGTGAACACTCACTGCCGCTCGCGCTGCCCGTCCTTTGACTTCCGCACGAAAAACCGACATTTGAGCGATCGTCGGGCAGTGGCAGCGGCAGCGGCAGTGTCAGCGCGAGTAGCCTGTTTACATACTGCCCTGCCCACTACCCTGCTCACTTCCCTGCCCAAACGGGCTGAATGTAAATGGGGCATAACATATCGTCACTCCACTTACTGGTAGGCTACCCTACAATTCGCTTACCAGCTGGTTCTCGATTGTAGCCTTCTAGGCTGCAACTCGAGAACCTTTGTTTCCCAATAGTAATCAGTTCTTAGATATATTTGGCTGACACATTGACACTATACTTTATTAATCCGTTTTGATAAGTCGATTACGCGGGTTATACCGCGCATACCTTCGTTATGAAATCACGCAAAGGAACAACGATCGTAGTTCTTTTCACAGCTCTCTAAGCAAACTTAAGTTTCCCCTTACGGCTAGCAAAGAAGTATCACGTCTCACAACCTTAAGTCATTAATAGCAACACACACTGTTGTACCCGCTTGTTTTTATGTCTTAAGAAATACCTAACGAGATGTGTCCTAATCTTCTCATCGCTGCCCAGTCGAGTTTTATCCATCGATTGACCTCTGGGTTAAAAGTAAACTTACCTAGTCAGAAAATTTATCCTAATTCTAGGTAATCCTACTCGTCAAACAAACATAGTTTAATGTTCACAATTATTGCCGGTATTTATTAAATTGAATATGATAAAGTAAAAGGGAATCTTTTTACGTTACATAAGATATGACCAACTGATCAATGCCCTAGGCACTGGCGGGTGACAGATGACTTAAATTCCATCCAATAACACTGATCCCGAATTTTTCACACTGGCTTATTGGGACCACTACTTTAAGTGCGTTGTAATTGATAGAAAAAGCTTCTATGTAATGCATGCAATTTTACGTATTATTCTTAATTGTATAGACACCACAACAATTTATAAGTATAAAGATGGAAATAGGCTTTTTTAAAAACTGACTAATGATATTGTGGTGATTATTGGAAAATCTTGCAAAAATTTAAAGATTTTTCCCATAGTCACGACAATAGGCAGACAGATTAGTACCCCAGTAATGAATAATGCTGTCACCATTACCAGTCTATGGCTCAATGGTGTTTGGTAAATTTTGAGGTCAGTCGATAAAAACTTGATCGATCGAGATGCATTACATGAAGGTGTGATTGCCATTAGGGCAGGGGATGGAAATCTGTCTTTTATGCTTTCATGATTTAATGAGCATTAATTAGTTTAAATTCTTAATAATTACCTTTACCTAGAAGAATCTTGATTAGTATTGAACATGGTACATCAATGACTACTGTGACAGCAAATGCCAGTACAAATGTAAGAAAGAAGAATCCAAGGAAGTTAAACATCTGTAAAAATGAAAAATATATCAACAGTTACATTTAAATATTTTAGTGTGGTAATATGGTAGAAGATTCATCGTTTTTTACACAAATGAGCACACAATTCACCTGATGGTAAGTGGATTCTGTGTGACCCATAGCCGTCCACATCTATCCTCAATGAAGTATCCGGGGACGGTGATCTTAATTTGGTGCGTGTCATAAGAGCAATTTAATGAAAAATACCAAAGAAAATACGGCTTTCGATAAAGAGCAGTATGATTTAAGTCACACGTGAAGTAACTAGACGGGCAACAGCTCGACCGGCGAGAAATCTGAGACTGCTATTGACAATTCTCCTGCCCAGTTACAATTAACGCTACTCCTCAGTACGGCATAAAAGAGGCCCAAGTTCGGTCGTGGACTTTTACTGAGGGAGAAAGAAAGAACAAAAGCAAAAAAGCTATAATTTTGAACCTGTAGAAATTTCGAATATTATTTTATTACTTTAATAAATTGTAAGTTAAAATACAATTATGATTTCTGATCGTGAAAACGCTTACAAAAATTATAAACTTTGCTTCTGTTTCTAGGGCAGTCGGGTTACATTTTTTCGCTGCTCTAGAAGGAGCGTAATATTTTTTGAGTGTATTAAGCATGTATGTATATTTGTATGTATACATGTACACATGTTGTAGAGATTTCTATTTTCAGTACATTTTTACGCAATAGGTTTCTAATTACTATTTTACAATTATAGTTGTCATTTATACATTTTTCTTTAAAACAACAAACATTTACTTACTAAAGCAGGTAAAGTAAAATAAATCGGTATAACTGCAGAGTAGTAATAGGCAAGCATGACAGAAAAGTGAATTATATACATGGCGTATGACAGTCGTGCCGGGAGCTTCCATACTTGTAGTGATAGAAACCAGTTGATAGGCCCTGAAATAATAAAACTATTTGTTATTCGTTAAGAAATGTATTTTTTTATTTTTAAATGTATTCATGTCAATATTTTCAATTGGCGTGCTCAGCAGAGCGGGACAGTATTTCATACCGGCACACCGCCTGCAACTTTACAAGGCGCAGGTTCGGCCGCACACGGAATACTGTTCCCATCTCTGGGCTAGGGCTCCCCAGTACCAGCTCCTTCCACTTGACCGCTACCAGCGCGGAGCGGCTTGAATCGTCGACGACCGAGTGCTTTCCGATCGGCTCGATTCACTGGCGCTGCGAAGAGTTGTTGCATCTCTTTGCATTTTCTTTCGCATATACCATGGGGAGTGCTCTGAAGAATTCTTCGGATTAGTTCCAGCCGCCAAATTTCGTGAACGCACTACGCGGCAAACGTCCCGATACCATTCATACCATCTGGATGCTTGGCGGTCCACCACTGTACGTTTCAAAAGGAATTTTCCTCCGCGTACAACCTCTCTGTGGAATAGTTTACCATCGGCGATTTTTCCGGACTGATACGACCTGGGGACCTTCAAGAAAAGAGCTTACTCCTTTCTAAAGGGCCGGCAACGTACCTGCAATTCCCCTGGTGTTGCGGTTGATCATGGGCGGCGGTAGTCACTTAACATCAGGTGAACCGCATGCTCGTTTGCCCCCTCTTCTATAAAAAAAAATCGAATCGAAACTGACTGACCCAAAACTCATTTAATTCTAACACAAAAAAAGTTAGTTTGTTGATTGTTGTCGTCCGTGTCGTAGGATCGAGTATAAGTTTGTTTTATTGTTTACTTTGTGTAACATCTAAGTAAAATATTTTTTTTTCATAACTCGCTATAACATTTTGGTTACGCTTTTGGGATATTTTGTCGTGCATGATGGTCATTAAAATGTTTTACGGCTTATTAATGTGATTTTGTTCTATACTCAGTTTATTAGATTAAAACTAGTACTTGGCGTTGTTTTAATTGGCGCACTGCCTAAAAGTTTATAGACATAGATATTATTAATTATTATATTAAGGTATCATAAATCGTATTTATATCAACATATTTATTTACAAACCACATAGTCATTTATAACCAGAAAAAAATATCTGTTTTTGCCATTAAGCGGCTTTCAGACTACACTATAATATAATAGCATACAGTATATAGCTCATAGCACAACAATATCGCGCACCTGGTGCGACAGCTTTAGCGCAGTTTTAGCAACCGACGCAAGAGAATCTTGTAACGCATATAATGTCGAGGGTTTTTTTAACTTATTATAAGTTAGTCTTTGACCACAATACCACCCGGTGGTAAGTGGTGATGTAGCACTACTAATTATTGCTTTGAAGACGCCAGGATTGTATTCGGACGGGAAGATTGACGCTGGCAAAATATTTCACTTTTTTATTGTACGCAATACAAAAAACTGGAAAAGTGCTTTTCGTGCCACGCACAATGTGGAGGTAGTGTTCCGTAGTTTTCCGTAACTATACGTGAACTTAGAAGAGCATCCTTCATAATGAGCATATTGAGTTTGCGGTTTGACCGCTATAACGACTAAACATGATGGTAACTGAAGGATTTATTTTACAATCAAACTTATTGAATGTGGTATTAAAAAAATTAAAAGCGGTAGTCACTAACCATCAGGTGAGCGGCATGCTAGTTCGCCCCTGTTCTGTAAATAAAATATGCCAAGTCCATAAAGACGACCATAGTTGACTATCTATATATTCTCGGCAGTGCAACCCTAACCCTATATATATATGACTATAACGAACCTTATTGTAAAACACCACTGCCCTTAACTACCCGGAGGGTTATTGAATTGTATGAATTTATAGGATTGTACGAATGCTTTTAATGAGACTTATACTAGCTACCAATTAAAAAATAAGCAAAAGTATTGAATAAGTAGGAAAGGTCCCCCCCTGTCTATCCCGCAAAGGAAAAAGTAAATCTATAGTAGTAATGCTTATAAGTCGTTTTTTATTAAATATTTATTTCGTACAGTTTACAATAATATTACAAAGTATATATATATATATATATATATATATATATATATATATATATATATATATATATATATATTATATATATAGTGCAGCTAGATTTAAGTCATTTTCTATAGAATTGTAACGAAATTGTTACTAATCCAAGTGAATTTCTTAGTTGTGCGACTATTACTCGTTAACTTGTTAATTCTACTTAGTTCTAATAGTTTTTCTTTTAACTTCAATATATAAGCTACTTTATTGTGTATATTTTCACATTCCCAAAGACAGCGGTTTAGTTGGTAGAGGGCAGTACACATGTCTCTACTAATTTTTCTTTTAATTTAGTTATATATACGACTGTTTTGTATACTTTTCTCATTTAAAAAAAAACAGCGGTTTAGTTGATAAGGGGGGGAGACACATGACTCTAATGAAAATACCACTTTAAAGCTAAATATTTCTCAAACAGACCCATCAATCGAAAAAATGTTGTTCCGAACCCTCAATGTTTTTAAAAGACCTATCCAACGATCCCCCACGCTATGTATTATACGGGTAATAAATATCCCTCTGCCTGTATGGGAGATACCCAAAATAAAATGTTTATTTAGGTTTAATTTCACGGTTTTACCGGCGTGATCTTTGAGAAAAACCACGGACGGTCGGACGAACCGACATGGCGAAAATATAAGGGTTCCTTATTGTTTAACTACGGAACCCTTCAAATGAATAAAACTTTTTGCTTCGAATGCGTGAAATATCGGCAACAAAGGGGTCAAAACCCACCAATCACCTGGTGTAACCATCGGACATGTTGAAGAGAAGAGAGAGGAATTAAAACGTGTAATTCCTGCGCACTCTCAACGAAATACGTCGTATAGAATACTCAGAGACTGGCTACTATGCGCCTGTGCTCGAGTCTGACAAGATTGGTTTTAATAAAATTAAGGTTACCAAGGTTTTGCCGTTATTGGTCGTCGTAAGAGAAGTCAACTTTTATTCATAAGCCTGCCTCGTAGATTATCGCATACATACGTATATTATACAGTTGCCACCCTAGGCAGGCAGGTCAGCAACTGCAGGTTTTTATCACATACTGCTGCCCATCTCCTGTTCCATTTCCTTGGTCGCCTTTTACGAGATCCACGGGTTAAGTAGATTCTCATACGCCGTTACTACATGATGGCTCGTATGAGGTTACAAAATAGCCAGATTGAGTACGGCGAGTAGCACAAAAGTGTGATTGCCAATTCACTTGACAGGCATGGGGATTACGGTAATTCTCTCTTCTGTGGAAAACGCTCATGCGTGCATAATTTTTATGAATTTTACCTCCGAATCCTTTAACACAAGCGAAAATAATCCAGCCCAAGGCCAAAGCCCATAAAGGTCTCAAAAAGGAATTGAAAATATTGTCAGCAAGCTGATTGTCCCAATCTAACTGCATACTTATATTCGTGCAGTATATTATTGCTCCTAGTAGAAGGAAAGTTGCACACCAAATTAGCATTGCTAAAACCTAAAAAAAGAATTATTTGGTTACACCCGTTCACGGAGAAAATACTATGTAAGATCAAAAAAGATAATAAATCCATACCACAGAGATTCTTAGTTTTTTTCCTCTCCATAAGTGCAAAATATATCCAAAAATCATACCAACGCAAAAAGGTGAGGCACGTGATAATGTGTTTATATAGTACTTCACAAAGAAATCATTCATTTCCTGAACTCGACTGCAAAAATAACCACACATATGTAATATTATCATCATCATCATCATCATTACAGCCCTTCACAAGTCCACTGCTTAATATAGGCCTCCCCTAAGGTATGCCACAAAACACGGTCCTGAGTCACCTGCATCCATCGACTTCCTGCATGTCTTACCAGGTCGTCACTCCATCTGGTGGGGGGTCCCACTCGAGAACCTTTTTTCCCCAACGGTTGTCGGTTCTTCGAGCTATATGGCCAGCCCATTGCCACTTCAGCTTACTAATCCGTTGGGCTATGTCGATCACTCTGGTTCTACTGCGGATATCCTCATTTCTAAGTTTATCCCGCAAAGAAACTCCGAGCATAGCCTTCTCCATAGCTCGCTGAGTGACTTTGAGCGTCCTGATACGGCCAACTGTGAAGGACCACTTCTCAGTTCCATATGTCATCACTGGCAACACGCACTGGTTGTACAATTTAGTTTTCAGGTTTTGAGGTATATCTGACGAGAAGATATGTCGTAATTTCCCGAACGCTGCCCAGCCGAGTTGAATCCATCGATTGACCTCTCGGTCGAAGTTGGACTTACCTAGTCGGACTATTTGTCCCAGGTAAACGTACTCGTCAATAACTTCGAGATTAGTGCTCCCAACAACGACCGGCATTGGTCGGCACATTAAGCATGATCTTTGTTTTGTCCTTGTTCATCTTAAGACCTATACGTTGGGAGGTACTATTGAGGTCATTGAGCAAAGTGCTTAAGTTCTCCAGCGATTCTGCCATAAGGACTATATCGTCATTAGGCAAATCGAAGGTGAGTGATGTACTCGCCATTGATGTTAATACCGCATCCTTTCCAGCCCAGTAGCTTGAAAATGTCTTCCAATGCAGCGGTGAAGAGTTTCGGGGAAATAAAGTCACCCTGTCTTACACCTCTCTGCAGTTGGATAGGTTTCGTACTCTGCTTCTGTACTCGGATAGCCATCGTGGCCCTACTGTATAAACACTTCAGCAGACAGATCTCTGGCAAAAACTTTGGAGCCCTGGTTTCGCTCGATCGCTTCTTCAATACGAGCAGTATTAAAGTTGCGTGTCTCGCCGCATGCATTTGGAGATCTGTCTGTTCAGTTGCCTATATGCTGTCAAATCCGTTGACGATTGTAACCTCATCTCCCGTCAAGCCATGAGATTAAGAGTGTGATCGGAGAGTTTTTGTGTTCTTCTGCGGCGGGTCTTGCAGAACTTAGCTCCGACCGCATGGACAGTTTCCAAGAGCTTGTCATTCATATCGTCCACTGCATTGCAATCTTCTAGGCACTGAAAGCGGTTACATAACTCGAGCTGAAATGTTTCGGGGTTCTGGATCAGAGCACGAGGGGGACGGAGCGTTGACTTCATTAGACGAGACCTCTCCAACTTAACGTTTAGGTTCAGTGTGCCTCTAACCATTCGGTGATCGCTGCCAGTTTTCACCCTTGCGATCACTGAGACTTCACTGAACAGTTGGCGTCTGGTCGTCATAATGAAGTCAATCTCATTTTTTGTCGAACCGTCGGGGCTCGACCAGGTCCACATCCTGTGGGACCGCTTCTGGAAGAAGCATTTCATTATCAAGAGTCCCATTTTCTCCATAAAGTCGGCCAGCAGCTGGCCCCTACGGTTCCGTTACCCTACTCAAAATTCAGCTTACCACTTTCTCTTGTGCCTAGCTTTGCGTTGAAGTCTCCCATCAATACCGTGTAGTGGGTTTTGGAGGAATGCATAGCTCTAGAAAGATCCTCATACATTTCCTCCACCTCCTCATCGGGATGTGCCGAGGTTGGTGCGTAGACCTGTATGACCTTCAGCGAATACCGTTTGATGATTCTGAGTATCAGGTACGCGAATCTCATCGACACACTCCCAATCTTTACAACGTTGTTGACGAGAGACTTGTGGACGATAAATCCGACACCTCCTTGGGACAGATGGTCGCCCTCCCGGTGATAGAACAAGTTGCCGGACTCGAGGATTACCGTGTCCTCCCCCTCTCTTCGGACCTCGGATAATCCAATAATATGCCAGTGCAACTCTACCTCTACCTATTCTTCCAACTCCAGTATCTTCTCGTAGCCCTCAGGGTGCGTGCGTTGTATGTTGCCAGGTCGAGTCGCCGTAGGTGGCAACCGAACCTCCACCGGAGATTCTTAGCACCCCCTGACCCGCCGTTACAATGTTCGCCACCGTAGCCAGGAATAGCGAGGCCGCCGGGGACTAGGTGCCGTTTGCTTGCGTCTTTACTCATGGGGGGATATTTGCCATAGTTGCCATGCTTGGCGAGCGGGTTGGCAACCGCAGTTTTTTTTATTATATTATTGTTGTTATTGGGAAGATGCTGCTGCCCATCTCCTGCCTGTCTCCCTCTGTCGCCTCTTACGACACCCACGGGAAATGTAATATTAGGTAATAAAAATAAGCTACAATAAATTATTTGATTGTTATGGTAACAGGTCTTCACAAGTGCACTGCAAAATAAATAAAGGGCTGAAGAATAACGCAAATAACTATACGTAGTCACCTGCATCCATTGACTTCCTGCATATCTTACGAAGTCGCATCTAGTGAGAGGCCGCCTCACACTTCGCTTACCGTTGTGAGGGTTGTGAGGGCCATTGGACTATGTCGGTTACTATAACTCTGTTGCGTATATCCTCAATACGAACTATATCACCCAGAGAAACTACTAGTATAACCTTTTCCATAGCTCCCTTGGATGGTCTTGCACTTCCCCATAAGTCCAACACTAAATGGCCACTACTTGAATCCATGTGTCGTCACTAGCAACAGGCACTCGCGGCACAATATATATATATATATATATATATATATATATATATATATATATATATTATTATATATATATTATTATATATATATATATAATAAGTGCGTATACTCATTCACGCACTACGTACTACTATATAATTCATTACCACATAATATCATCTCGTGGGTGTCGCAAGAGACATTAGAGGAAAACTGAATCAGGATATGGGCAGCAACTTCTGATATTAATTAAATAATTATAAAAACCTCTGGTTGCTAATCCGCTCTCCTAGTGCCAACTACGGCAAATATCCCCCCCCCCTATAATCCTATCTATGAGACAGGCCTATGTTTCAGCTTTGGACTTTTGATAATCTGTAAAAGTAATGGTAACAGTAAAATATAATACTGAATAGTCACGAAAAATTACTTAGGTGAAATTACTCCAGACGGCATGTCAATGTGGAAAATGTATATAGTAGAAGCTGTAAGCACGCTCAACAGTGTAGACGTCAGGGCTATCCAAGGAGGATATTTTCTGGTACTCAGCACCCAAAAAAGTACTATGGGCGACAGAATATGCAACTGAACATCTAAAGATAGATACCACGTTACTCCAAGACACTGAAAAAGATTAAATCCAAAAATTAATTTAAGACCTGTTCATGAGTAAATATGATTTCTTAAATTCTTTTGGTTCGATAAAAATTCGTAAGCTTATGGTTATGTTTTTTTATGATTTATTAAACCTGTAGTTACTCTGATATTCTATAATAAAACCTTGTAAATGATATATTAAATATATTTTTACAAGATCTTTATCTTATGACAAAATAATGGCAGTTAATGATTATGTAAAGGATTAATTAAATGATAAATTATTCCGTTAGCGTGACGAATATGGAAAATCATCACTATAACAGGAAGGGCCCGTGTATAGTAGTGGCATTTACATCTTAATGAAAAAGTAGATGAAGAAGAATAAGCTGATGTTTTATACTTACAAGGTCCCGTGGGTTGACAAAATTTTGAATATGTAGAAGAGTTGACCACCAGTACTGCCTGCAATTAACGATATTTGAAGCCAAGCCTTCCCATAAAGGACCGTCAGAAACTCGATTATATAACGAGGTTTCAAAAAGCACCATTGCAGCAAGCACAGGAAACATTCGCAAGAGGCGATTGAGATAGAACAAATGTACATTCTTTATGAGTTTTTCTGTAAATAAAATAAAGTTAAAATTTGAATATGCAGTAAAACAAGCTCAAATTTATAACTGCTTACAATATGAGTTAGGTCTTGTAAAGAAATATTGCAATATAGCATCAATCAAAGTTCCCATTTTGGAATATTAGAGCAAATACACGTGAGTTTTTTTCATCTATACATATAATCAAATTGTAAATTGCAGATGTCTTTAGATTTTATGATGATGATGATGATGATATGAGAGAATTGAGTTTAGTAATGATATAATTGTATCTAAACGCAGTAAACAAAAATATAAAAGAATATCGTAATAAAATGGTTAAAATATATAAATTCTATTATCTTAGTTAAAAAGTACAATATTTTACCAATATCATCGATATAATGGTGTTGTGTAAACTATTTGTTAAATTTTAAGTAGGTGTGCTTATAATTTTTTCTTAACTGCCGAGTACCTACAACACGGTAAATCAAATTTTTAAGGAGCTATTAACAATTTATTTGGTTTTCGCAAGAATCATAGAAGCTTGGCAGTAAACATATTCTACTTCCATTTTGCATTTCCAAAAGTTTTAAAATTTACATTATCGTGAAATTGAAAAATTACGTTACACGATTTTGAGTTTTTTAAAGATATTATTCCTACCTGTTCTTTTCTAAATATCATATAATTTTTATTTTACTGTATTAATAAATTAATTATTACAATTTTATATAGATGACGCTATAAAGCTAGTGTTGCCCAAAATCAGCCTTGGTCTTTCAGTATTGGTCTTGCTCTTGCATTTTTGCAAGATTATGATTATATTAGCAATACCAATAAAAAGACTGACCGTGCAAGATTTGAGCAAGAACAGGACTAAGCCTGCGAAACCCTTGCGTCTTTCAGTTAAGACTGAGTGTCGTTTCAGGGAATATAGGAGTTCGGGTATATGCTAAGGCGCTCTATGAGACGCAAAAAATTATATGAAAATGTTTGGAAAATTGAACTTCTGCGCATTACAAACAATACTATAAACATACTTAAACCACAGAATAAATAATAGTACTACGTACAGAAGTTGCACTCCTTTGATGTCGACTGCTTACCGACGTTTAATAGCCTACATAATTATTATTAATCAGATAAATCGCACACGCAAGCTAAATAAAACTTTATCGCTGCGAGCTAGTGTCCATATTACTTTGCATCTTTTTTGTCACGGCGGACTTTCCGTGGTTTATTAAGGGATGTCAATAGAAAGTAAAAAAAAATACATCGCGAAATGTTAATTATGTTACTTAGGTGAAGTACTAACTAATATTCTTACTATGATTGACTAACCATACTTTAGCCCATATGTGAGTTCTGCGATGCCTAACGCATGCAAATTGCAACGTCATTCGTCGGGAATCGTAACGCTTGGGAGAAATAGGTTGATAGTGTAAACAACAAATAAACCTGAAATACGATTTATAACAGAAATGTGATCTATTCTATTTAGTTAAAAATCTTGTTAGTATACAAAGTTTTAATTTCAGTATTTTGTGTTATTATAACTCAAAATATTTTAATTACAAAAGACAAGTATAGGTATGTAAGTAAATACTTGGATAGTGTAGTAAATTTTAACTAATTGTTGTAATGAAGTACTTAGGTATTTCTTCTGTAGACCAAATTATTACTTAATTCTTTTTTGCTGTGAGTACCTATCTAACAAAAAAATTAAATAAATTAATTAACCTATCATAACTTCCTTCTAAAGTTCTTCGGTTACTTAAAGAATGATATGAATCCTTTTGTTGGTCATTTCATTTAGTATCCATCTAAGCAACAGTTATAGTAGGAACGACGTTTTGCTATTATAATTTATCAAAAAGGTAATATACATAATACCTATATAATTTTTAAAATACATTAAAACTTTTACAACTATTTTTATCTACAATTAAATATACTAAACACTAAACAAAAACTATTTCAACAACTATTTATATAAAACTATTTACGTAAACAGCGGCAAAAACTTTAACATTCGATCGCCACCAACGCGCCAGCCTTGACTGCGTTATTTCGCCCGGGCGCGTCGCGATTTTAGGTAATTATTTCACGCAGGTAGCAAGAGTGATAGAGGCCTGCTTAAACAGGGAATGAAAAATCCATTAAAAGAAAAAAGAGTGCATCCCTAGTTTCGACCATCGGCACTTTGCGCCGCCACGCTGAACACACAACATTTGACACTGTTTGACTGCCGCCACAGAGTACATATTCGAATGATATTTATATAGACATTCATATACATATTTATAAGACACGAATACTTTATGCAGATCTCGTAAGGAATATTGTAATTAGACAATGGTAAGGAAACGTAGATATCATAATAATTTATTCTATTATAATATTAACTGTATGGGTTTATAATAATTACTTACTAATATAATTATTTTTGGTATATATATATACATATTTGATAGAGTTTCACTCGAAATGCTAAGGGCTGGAGAGGAAGTGGTGGCAGGCCTGCTGCACACCTTGTTTAATTTATGCTGGGAACTGAAGCGGGTACCGGTAGACTGGTGCAAAGCCGTGATAGTCCCAGTATATAAAGGAAGAGGGTCGCAGCAGGACTGTAAAAACTACCGTGGCATCAGCCTTCTTAGCATTGTGGGAAAACTGTATGCTAAGGTACTGATTGAAAGGTTCATGAAAGAAACTGATGAAAAAATTTGGGATGTGCAAGCGGGATTTAGAAAGGGAATGGGATGTACAGATCAAGTCTTTTCCATGCGCATGATCGCGGAGAAGTTTCTGGCCAAAAAACCAAAAGGTTTTTTGTGCGTTCATGGACTTGGAAAAGGCCTATGACAGAGTGGATAGGGATTTGCTATGGCAAACACTGAACTCATTTGGGTTGAGCGCTGGCTTGATACAGGCATTGGAGTCTCTTTATAGGGACTCTAGTGCTTGTGTTAGGATCAACGGGGTCTACTCGGACTGGTTTGACATCCATAAAGGTGTCAGACAGGGCTGTGTGGCTTCCCCGTGGCTGTTCATCCTATTTATGGACAGTAGTTTGCAAAATTTGAAAGTTGAAGAATGCGGATTAAGAATGGGTGAGTTAACCGTCAAATGCCTTTTGTACGCCGATGATCAAGTTATTATTGCGTCGTCGGCGGCCGAGTTGCAAATGATGGTTACATTAATGAACGGATCATTAAAAGAAAGGGGTATGAAAGTGAACGCAAGTAAGACGAAGGTTATGGTTTTTGAAAGAGAAGAAAGTAAAACAATTTGTGAAATAAGAATAGAAGGTGAGTTAATTGAGCAAGTGGATGAGTTCGTATATTTGGGCTGCGTATCTAGCAGGGATGGGAGATATGATAAGGATATAGAACGACGAGTGTGTGCAGAGACGACTACAGGAATAATTTCGGTCGGGAGACCACCCCGCATGTCAGTCACTACGTGAGCCAGATCCAGATATTTAGTTATCTTTTATGGTTCGGGTTTCACTAGGTTCTCGTCATATTATATCGACCAAAAATATCCTTGACTGTGCCCGGTCCATCAGCACAATATCAGGCTTATTCGCAACAATAGTCCTGTCTGTGATATGGTCCGGCCCAATAGAGCCTGGTGCAGTCATTTAAGAAGCTCGGCTTCCGGCAAGTACTTATAATAAGGCAGAGACCGTATTTCTAAGCGAGCTCCTGGCGTAGAATCCTGGCCAATAGGTTACGCCTGAGCAAGTACTCAGAGTTACAAAGCGACGAACAACCAGAGATGACATGCCTAAGTAACTCACCGGGATGGCAACAAGCTCGACAGACATCAACGGTGCCATCCTTGAGGATGTATCTCCGATAGTTGTTGGTCTTAATAACCTGATTCTATATTGCACTGACAAAACCTTCGGTTTCCCCGAAGAAGTCACCAAAACGTAGCCAAATGAGGGAGGCGACTGTATATATGAAAGGATCATGCAGAGCCTTGTAGAAGCTCCCGTGCATCTCCTTCTCTCTCCATACGGTCTCCGGGTTAGAAATGCTATCTACTTTACCCTTTATAACAAGAAATGACGTCACTATAGAATGGATCATCCGATCTCCCTAGGATGTAATTACGGAGGCTGCACACTTCGCAGTTATGAATGGTGAGTGCACTTAAAGAGCCACGTCCACCATGATTTCGCGGCAAGTAGAGCCTCATTATCAATGAACACGGATGATGCATTCTATGGGACGTCATGGTAGTGCAGACTTTTTTATCCAGGGCGTTAAGCTCAATCAGAATCCACCTCAGTATGCCAAAGGTATACATGAGGACACGCATGACCCAACGGCTATAGGCGCGTATCTTATTCACTCCGGACAAAAGGCTGTTAAGCACTTTGGTCAATATTTTCACAAACAGTCGCAAACAGACTGTTTATTACCAACCTCATCGATACCGATGTTCTATTGTTATTTATTGGGGTATCTATATAGTTTTCTCATCTGGTTGGGTTATATAAATATATGATTGTAAATGAAAATGAAAATATAAATATACATAAATATTAATTTTATAAAATAATACAAAAATACTTAAATAAATAAAAGCCCAACCAGATGGAAGCCCTCTGAAGATAAGACCAAAAAAGGGAAAGGGAAGGAAACCGGCGGACGATGCGGGTGGTATCGAAGAGCTTCTGCATTTGAGCCCAGAGCGGTCCGTTACAGAGTTCAAGTCGTCTCAGATGACCCGAGAGGCTGACTGGGATTAGCCTATTCGCAGAGACGACTACAGGAATAATTTCGGTCGGCAGATCAACCCACATGTCGGTCACCTCGTGAACCAGGTCCAGATATTTTGTTATTTTATCTGATTTGACTTTCAATAGGTTCTCGTCATATGGAATGGTTATGTCTACCAAAAATATCCTCGACTATGCCCGGTCCATCAGCACAATATTAGGTTTATTCGCAAGAATAGTCCTGTCTGTGATGATGGCTCGGTCCCAGTAGATCCTGGCTCTTCCGGCAAG